CGGCCCCGGGAGAGCGAGGCAGCTGCTGCAGGACCCGCAGCCTGGGACCTCAGTGCCACCCGCAGCCCTGTCCTCTCGCGGGAAGTGGGGGCCTGGCGCACCCGGCTCTGGACGCGCAGAGATCGGTGTTTGGCTCCGTCGTGACCACAATGTGTCCAGAGATCTCAGACCTGGGCTTTGGGGTGACCAAAGTATCGGAGACTTTGGCACATGCTCCCTTCTCTGGCTGATGGAGAGCCACAGCCTCTGCCAGGTGCCAGGGTGCCCTCGTGTATGGAGAAACTATAATAGTAACAAAGCACAAGGTGCCACAACTCCAGGAGCTTTTATTCACAATATGTCTGTGCCTCACCCCGCCCCCACGGAATTAGAATTATATTTTGGAACAAGACCCCCGTGAGAGTCTGATAGCTGACCGGGAGCGCTCACTACACACCTCCTCTGAGAGCCACATCTCATTGCTCCTCCAACACTTTCGTTGGAGAGGTACTAGCATCCCCACCTCAGGACAGTTTCACAGCGGTCACGTGACTTGTTCAAGTCCTCCGGTAAGTGATGGAGGAAGACCTAAGAGAGGTCTGCCTAAAGCCAACAGAACTAGGACACTGGAACGCTGGAGGACAGCAGGGATGTCTGCATCTGCTGGGATGGGGTAGAGGTGGGTCTCCCAAGTGGAGAAAGGTCTTCTGGGGCTCCTTATCCCAGAGCGGCCCTAACGGAACAAAGGTGGACCCGCGTCCTTTTGCAGGTTTTGAATTTCGCCCAGCTCCTCTCCTCCTGTCAGGGTACCTGTGTCTCCGTGTAGATTCTGCTATCGCCACAGATACGGTGCTGAGGGTGGGCAGCCCCAGACGGTGCTGGTGACTCCTGTTGCACCTGGGAGGCTATGTTTCTGGGCTCTGCTCACATCACTGCCACCTGTGAGGCTCCGAGTGAGTCATTTGGCAGCTATGGGTCTTCCTTCTCCGCAGTGTCACCAGAGATGCTCACACCTCCTTCTCCGCTCCTGGGAGTGAGTGTGAGAATTAATTACTAGCACACCCCAGAAGGGTGAGGAGAAAGCTCAGGAGTGAGTGTGTGTGATGGGATGACACGCCCCCGGGGAAAGGCTGGGAGAGAGGTGGCTGGCCAGAGTCCCACGCTTCCTCCAGGTGGGGGATGGCTCCAGATCGGCCCCTCGGGAGCCCTGGAGACTTGGTTGGCTCTGCTTGAAGGCTGTGGGAGCTTGATCTCTGCTGGGCTCCATCCAGCAGTTTCTGTCCCAGACAGAGGAGCCTTGTTCTCTCCTCCTTAGACACAGTCATTGTCTGGCACCGAGTTATGGGGGCGAGAGGTGTCCTGGGGCTTGGATGCCCTGCAAAGGCCCCGCCTGGCATGATTCCTAAATTAATAATGTATTTAGCTGTGGGAAGGGACCCTTGATTGCCAAGGGCCTGGAGGAGGCGTCCCTCTGAGTGTGTTACGGCACAACCTGGCACGAAAAGGGTTACCCAGGCAGCAGCCATCTTGCTGCAGCGGAAGCTTTGTTCCCAGCTGAGGAGCTGAATAAATCTTTCTGGGGCTGGCAGGGTTCTCATCGGCAACATTTGGGGGCCTCCTCTGCACCCCTCCCCTCGGTTCTGGGTTCTGCGGAAGACATTTTAGCCCCGGAGTCTCAGCTCAGAAGTCTGAGTCTGGGGGACAGGGAGGAAGGGGCGGTTTCTTTAGCAAAGGAATCCGGTTTGCTCACTGTGGTCAGATAAATGTCTTTATCTGTCTCCTACCCCCTGAAACCTGAGGTATATTTTGTCTCTGAAGATGAGTCTACACCCCCCCACCCCCCATCTGACACCAGTTTCTTCTCTGTGTGCACTCCCCTCTCTGCCTTCCGGCCCATCCCCAGGGGTCGGTAACATTCAGACTTCTCCAGGGTACTCAGCCCATTTCCCTCTGTTTTCTCCACAGCAAGCCCCACCCAACACGGACTGGCGTTTCTCTCAGGCCCAGAGACCCGGCACCAGCGGGTAGGTGACTGCCTCTCCAGCCCACCCTCTTCTCTGCGGCATTTTCTCAGTGATGACGTGAGAGGGGATGGGGGAGGGCTCAGCATTTGCTACGAATGGCTTCTTCCCTCAGTTCCAGATTTCAGGGAGGTTCTGGTGTCCTGGAGGCTCTTACACAGACCCCAGAGGGAAGAGGCTATTTTGGAAGCTCAGGTCATGCGCTCACCCCCTCTCTTCTCCCACCACAGGAAACCTGTCCTATCTCCTGGGGGCTCCGTGGGACCACAAGGTGGTTTTAAGGTGGTCTCCGGGTAGGGGAGGGAGCTTATTAACCCATCTACTGCCTACATCCCCCCACTCTGGATGGAGCTGGGCTCCATCCTGACCTGGGGTTCAGGCCGAGAAACCTGGGGCAGGAGGAGGAGAGGAGGAGCCTGCAGGAAAGAGCAGAGGAGGAGAGGGAGGTCGGGCAGCTGTGGGGGAAGGGAGACAGCACAGCTGGAGGTGGGGCTGAGGAGGGAGAGCTCTAGGGCAGGTCTTCCTGGCCCTGACCCTCCTCCAGGCCACCCGGGAGGCCCCCCACTGGTTCTACCCTCTCAGTCCGCAGGCCTTTTGTCTCTGCCACTCTCTTATCTCTGCACCTGCCCCTCAGTCTCTGTCAGTTTACATTCTTGGCCTCTCCCTTTTTCTTGGTCTCTATCTCAGTTTCTGTATTTATTGCTGCCTCTCTGTTCCTACCGTTGTATCTACTGGCGTTGATCCGTGCCTCACACCACGCCCCCATGCCAGGTGCTCAATAAATGTGGAAGCAATGAATCAATGTGACTTCCCAGTCGCAGTCAGTTTCTCCTTTTCTCTCTGTCTCTGCCTCCCTGTCTCCATCCTTGATCTCTGTTCTGTCTCTCCCTCTTTCATCCGTTGCTAGTGTCCTTGTGTTCCTCTGTCTCCAGTTTTTGTTCCTCCATCCCTCACTATTTCTGCTGTCCTCTCTATGCTCAGCCTCGGTGTCTCTGTCTCTCTCTACATGTCTCTGTAACTGGTGTCGGTCCTTTTCTGCCTCACTGAGTCTCTTTCTCTGTTTCTCTTTATTTATCTCTCTCTGTCTCTATTTTTTATCCTGTCTTTTGCTCAGTGTCTCTGCCTGTCTCTCATTTCTTTGGACTTGTGGGCAAGCCAGCACACACATCGTCCCCACCTCTCTCCCTCCCCAGACCCCTCACACACAGAGCCTTTGATCAGTGCTTTCCAGCACACACCCTCCCATCTAGGCTGCCCCAGCTGCTCATTTCAATCTGGTATGAATTCCTGCTGAGACAGGAACCCCCTGTGGGTGGGGGAGGAGGGAAATTTCAGCAGAAAGACCTTCAGTTGGTCTGAGGGGAGTGAGTGGGCTCTGGGCCAGGCCTCCCTATTGGAAGTCAGGAGCCTGGAGGAGTCCAAGGATCCCTGGAGGGAGAGGGGGGCAGAGCGTAGTCTGCCTTCCTGCCTCCTCGCTGGTCAGACTCTTGCTGCCCACAGTTCCTCAGATGCTACAGATACTGCGCCCTCACTGCCACAGGAACCCAGGAGACCTTGGTGTAGGATGGAGATTCCAGCTCCTGGGCAAGTGCAGTCCTGCCACTGGTATTAGGATCTCCAGGCACTTCCTAGAAGGCCCCTAGAAGGCAACAAACCAGATCCTTTGGACTGCGCTTGCCCTGTCCTGAACCCAATGGTCTCCTTCCTCCCCACTGGCCTTGCCAGCCTTCTCATCCATTAGGTCATTCATGTATTCATTCAAAAAATATTTATTGAGCATCTACCATGAGCCAGTCCCTGTGCTAAACACTGGCCTATAATAGTGAACAAGCAGACATGATTCTTGAACTCATAGGCTTTCATGCCAGCAGAGAAGACAGAAAATTAACAGCAAATCACACGCAAAAATGTCTAGTTTCAAATCATAGCAAGTTCTGAAAAGAAGAGGATAATGTGAGTGTAGTGGTGGAGGGGGTAGAGAAGGCCTCCAGGAGGAAGTGACATTTGAGCTGAGGTGATGTACAGAGCAATTTGTGTCCCCTTTCCCCACCCCACTCCCAACCGCACCTCAGGACATATACTAGCCAGGGCAGAAGTCATTGCTGAACCTGGAGGTCCCACCAATCGCTCTGGGTTGCGCACCTTACCCCTGCCTCAAGTCCCTTTTCATCAAAAGAGAGACTGGGTGGCCTGACATACATTCGGGAGCTCTTGGGGAGATGGAGAAGGCTCAGGAGCTCTCCCGGCCTTAACTTGAGCCAGATGGGGATGGGACAAACAGTTCTGATCCAGCTCCAAATGGCCAGATGAAATAAGCGTTAGGGGCCCAGTCCAGCAACTGCAACTTCCCTTCGTCATTCAATAAATAGTAAGACCGACTGTAGGCCAGGTAGTGTCCTAGGTATAAAAAGACATACTCCCCGTTCTCAGGAGTTTACAGTATTGAGGGAGACAAATACTAACCAAATAATCACACACACACACACACACACACACACACACACACACACACACACA